CTTTTTAGTCATTGATCAATTCAAAAACTAATTTGTATAGTTGTATGCTATGCTATGCTCCACGCTATTTGTTTTAGTGGAAATGTTTTTGGTATTTTCTACGTTTGGTATGATTGGAAAAAAAAGTTCGATTTGTTGTTAATAGAAATTAAGTTAATTTGAATATAAAATATTTTTCCGCCCATTTTTCACTTTAAAGGTGAAAATCAAGTTTTTTTAAAAAAAATTAAAATCTTACAAATATTGCTACGCATAAGAAAAGCCAAACAAATTGTAAATGTAAGTGATTAATTGAAATTTTAGTTATGGAGATGTGGTTAAACTTTGAAAATATTTTCACTTATTTTTTTTTTTTGTATTTTTTTGTGGTAAATAGGCTTTATTCGACCCTCTTAACTGCAAATGTAGGGGTTTTCTAATATTCATATCTTGTAAATCACGCCGAGCATTAACACCATCCTTTGATTTTCCTGCAACCCCTAATATTGTCCACAACACATTGTCACAAACATTATTCTCTATATGCATCACATTGAGGTTATGTCTTATTCGATTGTGCTCCCAATATGGCAATTCATAAAAGATACTCTTTTTCTTCCAACTATGGGTGCGATGTCTAGCTTTCTCCTTCTCTACCTGTCTCCTATGCCTCTCCTTAAGGTCATCCCTCTTGTACTGGGTTAAGATACCCTCAGATTCTAATTGTAGCAACATCTCAGTTCCAGACAACAATTTTGGTTTGAGTCTGACTTCCCGACTACCATCAAATGATACTTTATCCTTCCGGAATTTATGGCCAGTAGGTAAAAATCTGCGATGACCCAAGTATGATTGTTTCCTACTATGCTTCAACCAACACGATGTAGTTTCCTTATTGCAACAAGGACATGCATATTCTCCTTTAGTGCTCCATCCTGACAAGTTTGCGTATGCAGGAAAATCACTAATTGTCCACAGTAAAGCTGCATGCATTTGAAACATTTGATTTGTTGATGCATCAAATGTTGACACACCCTCATTCCATAGTTCTTTCAACTCCTCAATCAACGGTTGCATATAAACATCAATCTTGTCACCAGGTCCTTTCGGGCCGTCAATAAGCACAGATAAAATTAGAAATGGTTGCTTCATGCACATCCATGGCGGCAAGTTGTATGGAATGAGTACAACAGGCCAAGTGCTATGAACTATGTTCATCGTCCTGAATGGGTTAAAACCATCAGATGCTAAGCCAAGCCTTACACTTCGGTAATCATTACTAAAGTCAATATTCCGACGGTCAAAATCTTTCCATGCAAGGGAGTCAGCAGGATGCCTGAAGACACCATCATCAGTTCGTTCCTCTGCATGCCATCTCATTAACTTGGCCGTCTTGGATGACATAAACAACCTCTGCAACCTTGACTTTAAAGGAAAATACCTCATCTGTTTTGCAGCTATTTGTTTGCCACCTGTGTTAGGACCATTTGAACCACCATCACCATTTGATTTCCATCTAGAACTGTTGCATATGACACATTTATCAAGATTGGCGTCCTCGTTTCGAAACAACATGCAACTGTTGGGACATGCATCCCACGTCTCATACGTGAAGCCCAAATCTGTTGTGACCTTTTGAGCTTTATAATATGAGTCCGGTAGTTTTACACCCAATGGGAACGCCTCATTCAATAACTCAAGCAACATGTCAACAGACTTGTTTGTCCACTGATTAAGCACCTTCAAATGTAGAAGTCGAACAATGAATGACAAAGATGTGAACTTCTGACAGCCCGGATACAATTCACTTTGTGCATCTTGAAGAAGTTTGAAATACTTTGCAGTCTCTGCATTTGGACCGAGCTGGGGTTCAGATGCACGGGGATCAGGCCCCTGTGGTTCATCACCCTCAACACTTGTACCGGCATGTGGATTTCCCATAGCCCCTTGTATCATTCCACTCATATCATCTCCAATGTCTAAATTAGCTAATGTTTCATTCTCTCGATTACTATGCAGAGATATGTAAGATTCCCCATGATTAATCCAATGTTTGTATTTTTTAAAAAAACCACTCAAAATCAGATGCTCCCGTACACCATCTCGTACAAAATAGTATCGATTCTCACACTTCCTACACGGACAACTGATCATCGAACCTTCAACCCTATTGGTGTAGGCAAACACAAGGAATTCATCAATCCCATTAATGTATTCACTGGACATCCTATTTGGCAAATCAATCCAACTCCATCATCTGTACATATTCACAAGAATATCTCACCAAAGTAACTCTAAATATAATACCTACACATAAATATTCACTCGACATCCTATTTGGCAAATTAACGAAATGTCTATCCATCATCTGTACACATCCAATATTCACATTATATATTAATTAGGTGTAAAGATAATTTTTGATTTTCTCAAAAATGGGTTCAAATTAACGAAATGTCTAAAATTCCTATTTAAGGTTTAAATTAATTAAATTAAAAATTTAAGATTTATTTTATTATAAGGGTTAAAATTCTGTTTGTATTTTTTTTTCTCTTAAATATTTTTATGACTTATTTAAACATTTGCAATTTAAATTTGTAATCAAACCATTACATGTGTATGATATCAAAAATACAAAAAAAAAAGAAATTCTATCATAATAAGCAGATTTATTATGGTACTGTATTTTAAGATTATTGTATATATAGACAGATTTATATAGACATCTCTGAAATCTGTTTATTGTATTTTAAATAAACCAATAAACAGATATATATAGACATCTCTGAAATCTGATTATTTAAGATTATTTTATATACAATAAACAGATTTATAAACCAATAAAATAGATTTATAAACAGATTTATAAACCATAATAAACAGATATATATAAACCAATAAACCAATAAACAGTTATTTAAGATTATTTTAAATACAATAAACAGATTTATAAAAAAAAAATTAAGATTTAAATACAATAAACAGATTTCAGATTAAGATTAACTGATTTATACATATATAGACAGATTTATATATATATATATAGACAGATTTCAGATAAACAGATTTATATATATATAGACAGATTTCAGATTTATATATATATATATAGATTTATATACATTGCATATATATACAGATTTATATATATAGACATAGACATTCATCTATATATATATATATACAGAGAGAGAGAGAGCGAGAGCATACGCAGAGTGAGAGAGAGTCGTCACCGGAGCACCACTACTTGTCGCCGTCGCCGCCGCACCACCGCCGGCTTGCTCGCCGCACCACCGCTGTCTTGCTCATAGCCCGTTTGAGAAATTTGGGGGTGAAGTTAGGGATTTGGGGAGGAAGGATCGAGCGGCAACAGGAAAAAGAAGAGGGGTGATTTTTTTATTTTGACTTTTTGCGACGGTATGCTGTAGACCGTCGCAAATAGAAGGCAGTAGGTCGTAAAACGGCGCCGTTTGAATTAATCCTTTTTTGCGACGGCAAATTTCCGTCGCAAATGAGATATGCCGTCTCAAAAAAAAGGTGTTTTGCGACAGTTTTATTTACCGTCGCTAATACTTCCGCATTTCCGACCCCACCGCTTAGTTTCATTACCGACAGGTGAAGTTACCGTCGCAAAAAACCGTTTTTTGCGACGGGGGGCGCGGCGTCGCTAAAAGCTCCGTGTTTTTTGCTATGTTTTCCTGTAGTGCAAGGGAGTAACAACTGGGAGGGCTTGCTTGACCCAATTGACGATGACGAGGAATTTCCGTGCCACATGCGGGGTTGGGCTGCCACGGTGGATTGAGAGGGCCCCGAGATGGGTCTCGACCCAGTCCAGCTGGATTGGTTACGTGGCAGTTTGTAATGACAGGGAGGAGATTGCTAGGCTGGGATGGCGTGACGTGGTCATCGCTTATAGGGGTACTGCCATGTGTTTGGAGTGGATTGAAAATTTGCGTGCCACGTTGGCATGCTTACATGAACATATGGGTCCCAAAGACGGTAGCCCTATGGTGGAAAGCGGATTTTTGAGCTTGTACACGTCACAAACTGTCACATGTCCAAGTCTACGCGATACAGTGAAGGAAGAAGTAAAACGAATCCTCCAATCATACGGTGATGAGCCCCTATAGCATTACAATTGTAGGCCATAGTCTTGGAGCTGCACTAGCTACTCTCACCGCTTACGATAAAACCACCACTTTCGATAACCCACCGTTGGTCACAGTCGTTTCATTTGGTGGACCACGTGTCGGGAATAGAAGTTTCCGGTCTCAATTAGACAAAAGTGGAACCAAGATTCTCCGCATCGTGAACTCGGGTGATCTCATCACTAAATTACCAGGTTTTGTGATCGACAACAATGACATGGCAGACGGCAAACCTGTCCAAGTTGCAGGGCTACCAAGCTGGCTTCAAAAGCACGTCGAGGACACACGATGGGTATATGCTGACGTGGGAAGAGAGCTTAGACTCAGTATTAGGGAGTCCCCCTACCTCTCCAAAAGAAACATCGCCACGTGTCATGATCTTAAGACGTACCTCCACTTGATCAACGGTTTTGTGAGCTCCACGCGTCCTTTTAGAGCAACTGCAAAGAGGGTGTTAGAAAGAAGGCATAAAGAAGAACAGCTACAATTCAAATGATGATAAGTACTAGAATTCATTGGTACATAGATTTTTGTATGTACAAAAAAGTGCACATAGCAAACACATGTGAGCCCTCAAACCAAAAGGGAAAAGTTAGAAATCATGAAAAAAACTTCATGAAAATGATCATGAAAAATTTATGATTCTTGGATTACCTTGACTAGTGTGCGGTACTTTATTCTAAATATAATTCAAACGTCACAAAGTTTTCATGATTATTTTCATGAAAAGTTTTTCATAATACCTAACATTGCTGCAAACCAAAAGAGAAAATTGCTCTGATTATTTTGTGAGCATCTTTCCTTGAATGATGAGGCTTTATTTCATAAAAATTAAAGAGCGATTTTGAATAATTACACCTTTCACACTTTCTATGTGAATGCCACTGTATTCAAATCTCTCTCACATGAAGTGGTTAAGTTTTTTTGAACAACTCATTCATCAATTTATTAAATATGTTTGAAAATTGATTTAAAAAGTTATCAAAGAATCAAAGTATGCAATCAAATTTATTTTATGTATAATTTATATTACGTTAAATTTAAACCTAGCTGCACTATATACTTTAATTTTTTGACTACCTTGTAGACTAATTTTCTTCACTCCTTTATTTTTTGTTATCCAATGATGAGAAGGTTTGAACCCTTGGCATTGAAAATTAAAATAAAAAAAATATATGTATTAAAAGTCGAGGGTTAATTTCTTGTTAACTTTTATACGTAAGTAAAAAGCTAAGAGTTTAATATTATCACATGTAAGAGCATTAAGTAAAACAATACGTATCTAACCAACTCCGTTTGGTAGAGTTATAGAAAAGTGATTATAGATTATAACTTGACAACTTATAACTTATAACTGTGAACATAAGTTGATTTTTTACTTATAAATTAAACTTCTCCTTCCCCACTCAAAGAATAAGTTAATTTTTTACTTACAAAAATGTATAATCTGTATTGTTAAGCTGAACCAAACATATCAAAATAATTTAAATTAAGTTAAAAACCGAAATAAGTTAGAAATAAATCCTACCAAACAGGGCCAAAGACTACTAAAAATTTGACCTCAGAGCATTTTTGACAGTGCTATATTGTGAAATGATAAATTGGTCGATCTTGATGTAGTGATGCACTAATCATTTTTCAATTTCTTCACAAAAAAGTTAAAATCAAAATTTCATTTGTAAATCTCATTGTAAAAGAGAAAAAAATAAATAAAAATTCTAACAAAAATTTTATATTTTATGAGATTCTTATATAAAATTTAACAATATTAGAGTCCGTTTGGTTTAATTTTAGAATAATAATTTGAGTGTGGAGTTTTTGAATCATATTTGAAAAGAAAATATTTGTTTAGTTATAAGTTTTGAAAATAGTTTTGGGATTATTTGTATTTTTTTTTTTTTTTGATTGATGTATAAAATGTGAGAGAATGTGAGAGGAGAGATGAGAGAAAAATTGATTGATTGATTAATTAATAAAAATATATATATAAAAAAAAGAGGAGTTTTGAAAGTAATTTTAAATTGAATTTTAAAAATATATTTGGTTAACATCTTTCATTCAAATCATCATTTGAAAACAAAATCATAATTTCAAAATTAAACTAAAAGCTACCTTGTTTTTGACATCATTTTCAACATTATTAAAGCTTGGTTTTTAACTATATGTTCGGTATAAGCTTTTTTGGCTATTTTAGTTACAAAAAAAACAAAATAGGTTAAAAGACCAATAAGATAAAATATCACATTCAAATTATAATCATTTTATTTTTTCTCTCACAAAAATAAAAACAAAAAAAAAAAAAATTCATCACAAATAAAGATTTTTAGCCCTAGATTAAAATAGTTAAAAAAATCAAAAATCAAAAAATCAACCTATATCTCAAACGAAGGCTAAGTAAAATTGTTATAATTGACGAAAACAACATAAATTATTTAATCTTTCGAAAACATCATGGGTGTGTTTGGTTTGGTTTCGGAAGATAAATTTTCAAAAAAAATCTTGGGGAAAGAATTTTATTTTGGTTTGTTTAATTTTATATTTTGAAAATAGTTTTGGAATATAGGAGTTTGGATGATTTGATATTTTGTTGTAATTGAGTAAATGTGTATAAGAGAAAAAATGATTGAGAATGAGAGAGGAGAGAGAAAAAGCGATTGATTGATATGTAGAAGATATAAAGTGATTTTGGAAATTTTTTTTCAAAATCACTAAACTAAACAAAATTTTGAAAAATTTTCTCCAAAATTTATTTCTCAAAAACAAACCAAACAAGCCGCATATGACTGTAAAGTAAACCCAACAAATAGTGTTTTGTGTTTTCTATATTTATTAACATATTTTTAAAAAATAAATAAATATTTTTTTATTGGTTGGATGCACCATAACTATACAATTCTAAAAACACTAGATAACTACTAAAAAACGTAATAGTTTATTTGGTTTGATTTTCAAAAAATAGTGTTTAGAAAATTTTACCTTTTTATTTTTCGTATTTTAATGTTTTCAATGAATTTTTTTAATATTTTAAGTAATTTTTTTTTTAATTTTTAAACGCACCTAACATAAATACATTTAAAAAGTATAATATTTATGAAAAAATCTTTAAAAAATTATACTAAATACCAAAAATACAACAAAAAAAATTTTCTATATATTTTTCATATTTTATGTATTTATTAATTTTTTAAAATATTTTTTTACAAATATTTTACTATTTAAATACATCTAAGTAAGGTGCACCTAAAAAGTAAAGAAAATTGCTTAAAATTAAAAAAAATAGTCACTAAAAACAAAAACAAAAAACACGAAAAATAAAAAGTAAAAAAATAAAAACTCAATTTTTAAAAAATTGAATTCAAAAACTGAAATCAAATCCAATTAATTTTTTTTTATTGGTTAGATACACCATAGCTTTTATGTATTTATTAATTTTTTAAAATATTTTTTTACAAATATTTTGCTATTTAAATATATCTAAGTAAGGTACACCTAAAAAGTAAAGAAAATTGCTTAAAATTAAAAAAATAGTCACTAAAAAAAAAAACAAAAAACACAAAAAATAAAAAGTAAAAAAAATAAAAACTCAATTTTTAAAAAATTAAATTCAAAAACTGAAATCAAATACAATTAATTTTTTTTTATTGGTTAGATACACCATAGCTACACAATTCTAAAAATACTAGATAACTACTAAAAAACTACACGTCCTTGCTCCCTTTGAAATTTGACCACGTGAGCAAAGAAAAGCTTTTTTTTTTAACGCGCCTTACGTCATCACGGTTTTCATGTTGGTACGTCATCATTACTTTGTCGTAATCAATATTTTTTTTTGTTGTTAACAAGTCATTACTTGGTCCTAATCAAGATTGTCAACCACTAAACACTCAAGATTGTTGGCTGAACAATGTTTTTGATGTTGTTTGGAAGAATTATTTGAGATGATTTAACTAAGTATATTTTTAAATTTTTTATAAAAAAATGTATAAAAAAATAAAGAGGTGATATAATCCAAATAAGTACACTTATATTAATCATGCCAAACAACTATTTTTTTATTTTTTTGATTATTTTAATTTAGTTAAAAAGTTTTGTTTAGGAAGAATTTTTAATTTTTTTTTGTAATTTTATGAGAGAAAAAGTAAAATAATTATATTTTGAATGTAACATTTTATCTTATTAGTTTCTCAGCCTATTTTGTATTTTAGTGGGCTAAATTAGTCTCAACCTACTTTCCAAACAAGGTCTCCAAGTAAATTATTTAAATTCAACAATGATACATTCTCCTAATTTACCACCCTTAATATGTGACATTGAGATTAGACTTCACATAATAGAATGTTTGACAAATTAAAATTTGATACTTGTCAAACACATCATTAGTGATGATTCTTTAAAATTCTATTCACCATTTATACAAGTATGGGTCCTATGCGGCGTGGATTCCAAATTTTTGATAATTTTTGAGCAAGCATAAATTGGTATTGGTCCATTATGAAAAAATCTAATAAAATAGAAATCAATTACAAAATCCAACATAATCATTTTACATGCATATAAAATCTACAAACAAAATTTGGCACAATTCTCCTATGAAATAGGTTCCATCTCATGAATATCCAAACCAAACAGTTATTGAAGTTATATTTATTTGCTCTAAGTCAAGGTTTTAACTATATGCATAGTGATTTTAGACTTTTATTATAATTATTCATTAATATATTAACATATTGTCTTTAACTTAATACGTTATTTAAAATCATGGCCTTTGTTATCTTCAAAAATCATAAATCTCAATTGACCTTCAATCTCTTTCTAGTATGATATTTTTTGAAAATCTGACAGATTATTCTGTGGTTAATTTTTATGGAATTAAATAATTGATCCATTATTCATCATCATGTAAGGCTCGACCCACAAATGGTCTAATTGTAATTAGGTTTTTTTTTGGAAAAATAACTTATAAGTGTAGGACAATCTTCACTATTTAAAATAGATTAAATTCTGTTGTGTACTAAACAACAACTTGAATATAAAGAAATAAAGGAAATGAGAGAATTTGTTTGATTACAAAAAACCAAACTAGAAATAAAATTAAATAAATAAAAACAGATCTCATTTTGTTACAAAAACAAAATTAAAATCTGATTTAAATAAAACAGAATAATAAATTAAACAACTTACTTGATTAATTTTTTTGAATAATTATCTGATCAAGTCCAGTGTTTGACACTGTGTCCTTAAGACAGATTCGTCCTCTCCTCAGTGCTTTCAGAATTTGGACGTCTATCTCCCAGCATAAAATGATCTACTACAAACAATAACAGCACTACAAATTGTTTGTCTTACGAGCACACTAAGTGTTTACACTCTTTTCTTTCTCACAAGAAAATAATGCAACAAAATGAAGAATGAATTTGCAGAGCTCTTAAAGACGAAAATAATGAATTTTCTGAAAAATTTATAACATCAAATGAGGGTTGTCCTATTTATAGATGT